GCTAAACCCCTAAACCCGAAAACCCTAAACCCTAAACCTTAAACCCTAAACCCTAACCCCCTAAACCCAAAAACCCTAAAACCCTGAACATGAAACCCTGAACCGTCAACCCGGCTTCATGCGAAGTTCCTGAGCGGCAGTCCTCCAAATCGGGGGCCCGGCAGCCCTGAGCCTTAAAAAGTATCTAGGGTTTAGGGTTTAGGGTTTAGGGTTTAGGGTTTAGGGTTTAGGGTTTATAAAGGCTTTCTGCGTTGGATCATTGAGAGCATGACGCACAGGAATGCAAGTTTAACAAAGTGTGCACAACCCGAGTCTCCCAAACCTACAACCCCCGACCTCACTCAAGCAGAATAACTATAGACATCTGCATGTATAGGTACACCTAGCCAGAACAAGAAGCATTCTTTCCTTTATAGGGTTCTTACGGGAGGGGGAAGGTAGGTACCTGGCGAACCTTAGGTTAGGGAAGCTTAGGGAGAATTAGGGAGTAGTGGGGAGTATTAGGGAGCCTTGGGTTACATATCTCCCTTGAGCCTAAACCCTAAACCCTAAACCCTAAACCCTATAAGCCCCAAAAGCCCTAAGCCCTAAACCCCCAACCCTAGACCCTAAGACCTAAACCCTAACCCCCAAAACCCTCCCCTTAAGAACGCTATACAATAATTTGCGACACGCCCACTTGGAGCCACGAGAGCCTGTGATGGCCGAGGCAGACAAGCCAAGAGAAGAAGCTGTCTCAGGCCCGATCAGAATGGTTAGGGTTTAGGGTTTAGGGTTTAGGGTTTAGGGTTTGGGGTTTAGGGTTTAGGGTTTAGGGTGTAGGGTGTAGGGTGTATAGGGCGTAAGTCATGGGGCGTTCATGTGACTTGTGGGCTTTACTTGTACTCCCCCAAAATTCTGCGGAATACACCACAAAAGCTCCTCCCCAAAGGATTGAACGCCGGGCCCCAGCCTTTCATCTTACGCAATTGCACCCTGAAATGGGGGTTTCCGAAAATGGGGTACCGGGTACCTTCAAGGGGATTCTAATCTGGGGTAGAAAAGGGGTACGCACATTCTGGGAAATGCCCAAACCTTGCGCGAGGATCTCATCGACGTCTTTGTTGGGCGTACCCGAGCGGCAGCAAGTGCCTGACCTGGTAGGGCGTAGCAGTTGAGGATGTGGCATCGGGCTCAGTCAGGCCCTAAACCCTATACCCTAAACGCTCAACCCTAAACCCTAAGCCCTAAGCCCTAAACCCTAAACCCTAAACCCTAAATCCCCAAACCCCCAAACCCCCAAACCCTAAACCCTAAACCCTAAACCCCAAACCCTCTGTATGAATCCTAATCCAGTCTTTCGATGTGGGAGCCTCGGGTGGCACGGTGGGTGAGCATCCGTCGACCAAGGCACCACCTTTCCAGGTGAGAACGTGGGAACCATCTCTCTCGAGGACTGGGTTTAGGGTTTGGGGTTTAGGGTTTAGGGTTTAGGGTTTAGGGCTTAGGGAGGCCCTTGAGACGGTGCATATTTTCCCTTGCTGGGTTTAAGAGGACCATGTTTAGGAATCTTATTTTACGGGCCATCCTAGAATACTATTCTGCGATTATATATTATTGCATGATTATGGTGTTATACGATCTTACCATATGCTACTCTGTGTTTTTGATACTATGGCAAGATGATACTGTTGCATGATTATTGGTCTTGTATGCATATGCTAGTGTAATGCTAGATGTTCATAAACACAACATACTTCTCTCTACTATACTATATTGTTCTCTTCTGAGCTATATGATTCTTGGTATTGTATGGATATCCTAGATGTTCATATTTATTTATTTGTTTTTCATCATATTCTTCCCCATCCTTGGTGTGGGGTTGCGAGGGTTTTGAGTCAACCCTGCTCCTGGACTCTTGGCCTCCCGCTCAGTCTCCCCGGCCTGCTCCCTGGAGCGCCACTTGCAGAGGAGACCCCTAAACCCTAAACCCTAAACCCTAAACCCTAAACCCTAAACCCTAAACCCTAAACCCTAAACCCTAAACCCTAAACCCTAAACCCTAAACCCTAAACCCTCAACCCTAAACCCTAAACCGCCTGTATCAAGCCTTGGCCATCGCGCTGCAGCGCGAACACGCGCGCTCCGTCCTGCGGCGGGCGGGCGAGTTGGCTAGAGACACCGGCCATTTCGTGGACTTCCCTATTCCCCCCCCCCCCCCCCCCCTCTGCACCTGCGCTTCGCCTTCCCCTGAGTGGGCGGGCAGCAACGGCCAGCAGATAGGCATCGAAGGCACAAGTAGGAGCTCCGTGCAAGAGTGTATACGCACTCCTCTTGTGCTGTTTGTCCTGACGTATGGAAGGTGGACATTCTTCGAGCTGTTTGTACGAAAATGCCGTACTCAGCCTGTCCTTGCACTTCAAACGGCGCTTGTTGTGCGGCTTTGTGCCATTGCCGGCCTTCACGGTCCGACACACTGTCTGCGCCAATCCACAAGTCGGTTGTTAGGGTTTAGGGTTTAGGGTTTAGGGTTTAGGGTTTAGGGTTTAGGGTTTAGGGTTTAGGGTTTAGGGTTTAGGGTTTAGGGTAAGAGATCATGCCAGCATGTTAGACTCGATGGTCAGTGGCCCCTGACGAGAATTCCCCGCGGAGAGTCCCGCGACAGAAGCCCCGGCGAAGTATCCGTAGTTGCCTGTCGGAAAACGGCCCACATCTGGGAGCTGTGGGGTGGGGATGGTGGAAGTAAGTAAAGAATCTGATTTCGTTATCGTACTTTATTCTAAGCCATTATGTTATCATACTATTTTCTGGGGTGATGCAGTCCGGATGTGTTGAAGAGCTGTCTGATCATGACAAGCTGCATAGTGCTGGCATGCCTGCATGCTCCCTTGCATCCCCGTATGGCAAGAATCCTTCAGAAACTTGTGGCCTATTGCAATGCAAAGCTGGCATCTGCCCCCGTCTGACATGTGTAACCTAACCCTAAACCCTATAGCCCACACGGGAAGGAATTTCACATTGCTTTTGCGTCTGTCACAGCACAGCGAAAGCCATAAGAACAGAATGTAGCAGTGAAAGGCCTTTCGGCCGATCGCGGAAGATCCCCGCTTCCGGGGATACCTGCAGCTTGGCCGAGTGCACCCCTCTTTTGCAGCTCCGCGAGCCCTAAACCCTAAAAACTAGAAACCCTAAACCCTCAACTAAACCCTAAACTTTCCCTAAACCCTAAACCCTAAACTCTAAACCCTAAACTCTAAACTCTAAACCCTAAACCCTAAATGCAGGGGCGACAGGGCTGGTGGGGGTACATGGAGAGGCAGCCGAGTCCCTACGTAGATGTTTCAGTGCTAGATTTGAGCGAGAACGCGAGAGCAGACGGCTTTCAGCCTCAATCTTCGGTTCGGAAAAGACACGTGGCGAAGTTGAGACGAGGGTACAGCGGCTACATACATAAAACCTGTATGTATGTATGTATGTATGCATGCATGCATGTATGTATGTATAATATATATGTATATGCGCAGGCATATCTCTTTCCATTATGATGCGCACACGCGTGAATTTCATGAGGTCCGCAAGGGGCATCGACATCAAGAACGTCGAGTCTTTCTCGCGGTACGCGGTTGAGCAAAGGGCTTTTCAAGAGCAAGCTTAATCCATGGCCATGTGGGGTTAGAAGTAGGGTAACTATACTTATAACCCGATTATAACCATATTATAACGCTATTATAACCCTATTATAACCCTACTATAACCCTATTTGAACCCATTATAACCCGATTATAACCCTATCATAACCCTATTATAACCCTATTATAACCCTATTCTGACCCTATTATAACCCTTTTATAACCCTATTATAACCTACTTTTACCCTATTATAACCCTGTTATAGCCCTATGTTCATGTGAACTTCATGAATGGCTTGCCGCCCTCTCGAAGGTTTGTTCAGTATGCAAGGACCCCGGTTTAGGGTTTAGGGTCTAGGGTTTAGGGTTTAGGGTGTAGGGGCCCGAACAGAACTTTGGCGCCCTTGGTGCCCAAGGAATCTTTCTTTAGCATGCTCACCTCGGACAAAGAGAATGAGGCTGGAAGAATGCCGCAGCAACGTGGGGGTGGGGGGGGGGGGGGGGATGTTGTGCGTTGAACCGAAGGCAGAAACCGACATGGCACATGCTGAAGCATCCCTGATCCATCCTGATTTTGAAGAATGCCTTCGCTGCCATCCCAGAATTGTGCACATTCACACCCACCCACCTCCCCTCCCCCGTCCTGGAGCAGGAAGTGGACGTCAGAACACTGGCCAACGCGTGCGTTCGAATGAAGGGTTTTGCCCCTTGCTTTCACAAAGATTCCTGGGGGTCAGGTGGTAGAGTTCGCCACAACTTGCGCAGCTCTCTGAAAGGGTCCAGCTGGGTGCCTCGTAACTGCCCCGAAGGTTAGAATTTGAGGGTTTGCTTGGCATTCTTCTGGCTGGCTCTTAGGACTTTAACCTTGTGAGTTTTTGCAGAAACCACAAGAAGGAGCCTAAAAGTTAAGCTTTCAGGAGGGGTTCAGAAGTCAGCCACCTCCTCGATGGTAAGGCAACCAGCATCGACCTGCTCTCGCTGAGTTTCGACATCAAGCGACTTGTCCGGATTCAATTCCAGTTGGGATGTTCCCCCTTTATACTGACAGCCCTTCATGGGGAATATAAAATGGGGGGGGGTACTTACTATAATCCCTGTTAAGGTACGACTTGCTTAAGAACCCCCCCCCCCCAAAAAAAAAAAAAAACAAACATATTCTTCCTTCTAGGGTGATATAGGGGTTATTATGTTTTTTTTTATTTGGGCGTGGGGGGGGGGTTCTTCTTACTTGGCCAATAGTTGAACTTTAAACTTTTTGGGTTTTTTCTTTTTTTGGTAGGAAAAATAAAGTTTAACCTTTTTTCCCCTCGCTTATTGGAGAAGTAAGTCTTAGGCAAATAGTAGCAGTGTTGGGGTATCAGCCCTCACTTGCAGCAAGCGTGGCGTCGCATCAGAAACAGCTGAGGGCCCCTGCGAACCCTAAACACTAAACCTTGAACCTGAAACCCTAAACCCTAAACCCTAAACCCTAAACTCTAAACCCTAAACCCTAAACCCTAAACCCTAAACCCTAAACCCTAAACCCTAAACCCTAAACCCTAAACCCTAAACCCTCAAGCCAGCACCACTTCAGAGCTGAGGAATACCTTTCGCAAGCAAACAGGCTTGTTCCTGCGGCCCCCCAGCTGCAGATGGGGTGGTGGAACACACTTCTGGGCCCTTAGCAACCTTAACAGCGAGATTTGGGAAGAGGGGTGAAGGTTGGTATGATTCCTCTTATACTAGAAGTCCTTAATAGGGATTGTAAGAGGGGGTACTTTAATCCCTATGAAGGGCTGCTGCCTGCTAGTATAAGGGGGAACATACCAAGGGGAAGGTGTCCCAAAAAAGAGGGGGCTCCCTCACCCAAGGCAAGACTTGGAACGCGAGAGCTGTAGCTTTCGCTGCACCGGCGCGCGATCCAAACCCAGTGAGGGGTTCAGTTCAGGGTTTCGGCGCCAGGGTTTAGGGTTTAGGGTTTAGGGTTTGGGGTTTAGGGCTTAGGGCTTAGGGTTTAGGGTTTCGGTGGTCAGGGTTTGAGTTAAGGACCCTTCAGAGAAACTTCAAAAGCAAGTCGGCGGCGCTGGCTACAGAGAGTCCCTGAACTGGCCCTTGCAGGAAACCAGTGTCGAATGATGCTGCCCACATGACCCTAAACCCTAAACTCTAAACTCTAAACCCTAAACCCTAAACCTTAAACCCAAAACCCTAAGGGGAAAGGCGCGAGAACGGCGTCCCCTTACATAGCCCCACAGGGCCATATGCGTAGTTGACTTTGGAGTTTCAGCCTAATACGTACCCTAAACCCTAAACCTCATAAATTATACCTTAAACCCCAAGCCGTAGGTAGCGAAAGCCCATGGCCCCAGCTCACGGGCACTTGAAGCCCTAAACCCTAAACCCTAAACCCTAAACCCTAAGCCCTAAACCCTAAACCCTAAACCCTAAACCCATTGTGAGGTTAGCCAAGAGCGTGAGGCGTGTGGAGGAGATGCTGATGGAGCAGATCCATGGCAGAAGAGTTTAGGGTTTAGGGTTTAGGGTTTAGGGTTTAGGGTATGCTGAGATGGACCGTTCTCCAAACCTGGGTGGGGATGTGATACCGGGAAAGGCCGAGCCCCGCTGTCCCCAGGGGCTTCCGGACAGCTTTCGATTCTACAAGAAGCCCCCAGGCCCCCGGGTTCTTAGTAGGGAGCGAGGGAATAAGGGCCCTAAATAGATAAATAGATAAATAAATAAATAAATAAATATATATATATGTATGTATGTATGTATGTATGTATGTATGTATGTATGTATGAGCATATATATATATATATATATGTGGGCATGTGTTTATATGTATATATGTATATATGTATATATGTATATATGTATATATGTATATATGTATATATGTATAAATGTATATATGTACATACTGTAAGGGATTGTATAGGGCCCCGAATTCCCTCATTCCCTGCTAAGAACCAGCCAGTAGGGCACTCAAGCTCACCAGCTTACTTGGTAAGTGCCCTAATATGGTTAGAAGTACAGTTATCCTGAACCCTAAACCCTAAACCCTAAACCCTAAACCCTAAACCCGAAATCCTTAGTAAGTACCATGAACCTCCAAGTAGCTCACCGGCATGCCTCAGGATGCCACAAGTACCAACATCTGCAGTGCGCCTCGCCCGGTGACACGCTCTCCGAGACCTGGGGTTTAGGGTTTAGGGTTTAGGGTTTAGGGTTTAGGGTTTAGGGTTTAGGGTTTAGGGTTTAGCGTTTAGGGTTGAGGGTTTAGCGTTTAGGGTTTAGGGTTTAGGGTTTAGGATCCAAAAAGTAGATCCACACCAAGGTAGTTGTCAAAATTATGGTCCCTTTTGGGGTCCCGAATATAATACGGCACCTAATATAAAGGGTATCCAACAGGTGACCCTAATTTTGACAACCACACATAGGGGTTCCTAAAAACGAATCAAGAGTACTATTGGGTACGATTTGGGGTTCTGCTTCTTAGATCTTCCTGGGCGGTCTAGGATCGGGTGCAACTTGCATCTGCGACTAGGACCCAGGGTGGACCCTGACTGCTTTTTTTAGGGTTGAGGTTCCCTGATAAGCCTCTCTGGGCCAGGGGTACCCTCTTCTTTCCTAGGTTACTCCTTGGTCCAGGTGAGGACGTCGGATATTGTTGTTTCCTAAACCCTAAACCCTAAACCCTAAACCCCAAACCCTAAACCCTAAACCCTAAGCCCTAAGCCCTAAACCCTAAACCCTAAACCCTAAACCCTAGACCCTAGACCCTAAACCCTAAACCCTAAACCCTAAACCCTAAACCCCTTGAAGCCGAAGAAGGTCCACGGCGCTGAACGAGCTTGGAGACCTCACAGTGAATGATGACACGGTCAGCTGCTCTTCGCCCAAGATGGGCTAGCCAATATAGGGGCCAATATAGGGGTTTAGGGTCTAGGGTCTAGGGTCTAGGGTTTAGGGTTTAGGGTTTAGGGAATAATTTTACTGACAATATTCCCTTATGGTTCCTATGTAATCATGTACTAGAATAACACCCCCCCCCCCCCCCCAAAGCCCTATTCTCATTTTTAAATGAGCATTGGCTTCCATTGACTCCCTAAAGTGGGAGGCATCCAAGTGGGACACCGCCCGCAAGAGATTGCTTCGAGACACCCTAAACCCTAAACCCTAAACCCTAGACCCTAAACCCTAAGCACTAAACTCGAAGCATTTTACAGGGTGCACTGGGGTCCCTCTTGTCACATGCAAAGCCTAGTCAAAAGTCTACGCCTCCCCCCCCGGTTCTTTCCTGAAGAAAATGCATGGCGAGACGCCGCGTGGGGAGAGAAGCTATTGGGAGCCGGTCTGGTACTCCTGCATGCGCTTGCACCTACATGCCGGGTAAGCGAACATGGCATCTCGACACAGCTTCCCTAAACCCTAAACCCTCAACCCTAAACCCTGAACCCTGAACCCTAAGCCCTAGACCCTAAACCCTAAACCCTTGCCAACAGAAGCTCCAACAGTGGCTTCCATCGCACTGCCGTGCACGCATGGAAATTTTCCGGCGACGAGGCCCTCACCATCTGGCAACCAGATGGGGTGCCCTTTGCCGAGAATTTGTTGTAGGACTCCTTCGTTCATCCCAAGAACCCTAGACGCTAAACCCTAAGCCCTAAACCCTTAGTAATGTAAAAGCCAGATGTGTCGAAGGAAGCGCCAGTCACGCGAAGACATTTTTGTGTGGCAAGCTGCAGCACAAGTGTCTTGTGTCTCTTATTCCCTGGCTTCGGTGAACTCTTCATTCCTGTATTCGTAGAATTGAGGTAGCCGCTGTCCTTAGGCTCGTTGAGGCTCGTGCCTGAATGCCCACTCGTTCTGCGGTGCTGGGATGACATCCTCTGAGAAGTGGTAGTCCCAAATGAGACGTGCTGAATCCTGCATAATCTTGGATCCGGCCTGCCTCTATGTGCCGTCGCAGGGGTCGGTTTTAAGCCGCCAAAAACCCTAAACCGTAAACCCTGAACCCTAAACCCTAAACCCTAAACCCTAAACCCTAAACCCTAAACCCTAAACCCTAAACCCTAAACCCGTATCATGCCCAAGGTTCAAGCACAAGTGCCCGCACCAGCGCATGCAAGCACCTCACATCTGCGCAAAGGAAAGCCCGTAGGCTCGCGTTCGGCCACCATGACGTATCTTCTGGAGGCCCGACTCACCGAAGCCTTTCCACGATTCTGTTCAGGGTTTAGGGTTTAGGGTTTAGGGTTTAGGGTTTAGGGTTTAGGGTTTAGTTTTTTTTTTTTGGGGGGGGGGAAGGGGGGTTGTGATTTCAGTCGATCTCCGATCTGTGTTATTCACATCCCCTAACCCCTACACCCTGAATCCTATACCCTAAACCCTACACCCAAACCCTACACCCAATCCTTATCTTGAAAGAGTGTGCCAGCGAGAGACGCGATGAGGACATTCCGTTGCTAGGGGGACCCACGGTGCACCCGTATCCCCTCAACCCTAAACCCTCAACCCGTATCCCCTCAACCCTAAACCCTCAACCTCAGAATCCCCTAAACCCTGCAAGCCCTAAACCCTCAACCCTCAACCCTCAACCCTCAACCCTCAACCCTGAACCCTGAACCCTGAACCCTGCACCCTCAACCCTCAACCCTCAACCCTCAACCCTCAACCCGAAACCCTAAACCCTAAACCCTCAACCCTCAACCCTCAACCCTGAACCCTGAACCCTGAACCCTGAGCCCTGAACCCTGAACCCTGAACCCTGAACCCTGAACCCTGAACCCTGAACCCTGAACCCTAAACCCTAAACCCTAAACCCTAAACCCTAAACCCTACCCTAGGATCTTGGCAAGAAGCTGTGCAGGGCCTCTATGTCTTCCACAGCGGCATCGAGCTGCTGGCTGGCTCTTCGCTCTTCTTCCGGGGGCGCGGCTCCATGGATTCCGCGGCAGAGGCGCACCCTAAACCCTAAACCCTAAACCCTAAACCCTAAACCCTAAACCCTAAACCCTAAACCCTAAACCCTAAACCCTAAACCCTAAACCCTAAACCCTAAACCCTAGACCCTAGACCCTAGACCCTAAACCCTAAACCCTAAGCCCTCAACCCTAAACCCTAAACCCTAAACCTCCCTGCTTGGCTTGAAGTGTCTAAGATTCAGGGGTTGAGGGGCTTAGGGTCGTACATGACTTTGGGGCTTCGGGTGACAGAAGGCCGCAAGAACTGGGGCCCCCGAACTGGAAAATCGCGAAATTCTGGTAAACCCTAAGCCCTGAATCCTAAACGCTAAACCCACACCCTAAACCCGAACCCTAAACCCTAGACCCTAAACCCTAAACCCTAAACCCTAAACCCTAAACCCTAAACCCTAAACCCTAAACCCTAAACCCTAAACCCTAAGCGCTAAACCCAGGGCTATTGGAGGGGGTCGATGGACACTAATCAACTGAAGGGTTTCATTGCTAGTTCTTCCTAGGGAGTTTGGTATACCATGTATATCCCCTTTAAGGACTTATTTGTGGACGCCAATTCCCAAGTCCATACGAAGAACCGGTAGGATAAGATGGTGGTCAAAAGGGCTCCTTGTGCAAAAGGCCACTTTTTAGGGTTTAGGGTTTAGGGTTTAGGGTTTAGGGTTTAGGGTTTAGGGTTTAGGGTTTAGGGCCCTGGGGATTTCGGGTTTTTGGAGTCTAGGGTTTCGGGATTGGGGTTTATAGGGTAGAGGGTTGAGGGCTCCTCTTGTCGGCTGGCCGAGTCCGCCCCGTGTAGCCTCACGAGATTCTAAACCAAGCCACTGCGCCCTGAAATTTCTCAACCCTAAACCCTAAAACCTAAACCCTAAACCCTAAACCTTAAACCCTAAACCCTAAACCCTTTAAACGCAAAGCCCGTCTTCGACAACCAGCGCGTGCAGGCCCCTCCGGCGCACAGGGTGCTCCTATTGGGGCTTCCCTCATTTTCTCACTGTTGGTTGGTATAGGAGTTTAGGGTTTAGGGTTTAGGGTTTAGGGTTGAGGGTTTAGGGTTTGGGGTTTAGGGTTTAGGGCGAGTGTATTGTGGCAATGGTGACGATTATGACTACGAGTGCAGTTGCCATTGTATTGCTATGACTACCAGTATTGCTCGTGCTGCGACTGCGATTGCGATTTCGATGAGCCGTGCTATCCTTACTCCCATTCCCATTTCTATTCGTGCTCTAGGACTATGGTGACGATAATGACCATGACTGTGCCATAGCCCCTTAAACCCGACACCCCTGGACCCTAAACCCTAAACCCTAAACCCCAAAACCCTAAACCCCCACACCCTGAACCCTAAACCCTAAACCCCCTACACCCTAAACCCTAAACCCTAAACCCCCTACACCCTACACCCTGCACCCTAAACCCTAGACCCTAAGCCCTAAACCCTAAACCCTACACCCTACACCCTAAACCCTAAACCCTTGCCACCTTCTTGCAAAAAACAACCCTGTGAGGCCAGGCCTCAAGCCAAGCTTTACCGCCGCTGGCACGGGGCTGGACTCCTGGGGCTTAGCTGCCTGGGCTGGCTGGTCCGAACCCTATTTCAAGTAGGGGAGAAAGGGGTCGTTTGGGGTTTAGGGTTTAGAGTTTAGGGTTTAGGGCTAGAAGGATATCGGGAGCGGGCAGTACAACATCATCAACCCGAAATCCTGAAGCCGAAAGCCTAGACCCTAGACCTAGACCCTAAGCCTTATATGGGTTGGTGGTCTCTTGAAGTAGGGCTTCTGTCAAAAAGGGGGCATTGTATTCGGGGTTCTTAAGAAGGGCATCTAGGGGCTATATTCAGGTATAAGGGTAACAGAGAAAGAGGCCACCGGCCTTTAACACTCCCAAGCCTTGGCGTCCCCTTTCTGTTATTCAAAGGCTTAAGCATCCGTGCTCCAGGGGGCAGCGAGGCCTGAATTCAGGGGTAGAGATTAGAGGTGACGAGCGTTCACATGAGCAAAGATGCAAGCAGAGGTTTATGGTTTAGGGTTTGGGGTTTAGGGTGTTTTGTTTAGGGTTTAGGGGGTTTAGGTTTAGGGTACAGGGTAGCAATCGTCCACCTTGGTTTTGCCCTGTAGACAGCACAGAGCGAAGCTTCATATTTTCCTTCCTCCTAAACCCTAAACCCTAAACCCCAAACCCCAAACCCCAAACCCCAAACCCCAAACCCCAAACCCTAAACCCTAACCTTTCCCTAAACCTTAAACCGTAAACCCTAAACCCTAAACCCTAAACCCTAAACCCTAAACCCTAAACCCTAAACCCTAAACCCTAAACCCTAAACCCTAAACCCTAAACCCTAAACCCTAAACCCTAAACCGCCACAAACGAACAACTGCAGGTCCTCTTCAAAGGCCTGCTGCGCTCTGAAACAGGGCAGACGGTCTCACAGGCGGGAGAGGGGACTCCAGAAGGCTGCGAGTTGAACTGAATCGGCTACACTTTGAGGGCGTTTCCCTGCCTTGCCCTAAACCCTAAACCCTAAACCCTAAACCCTAAACCCTAAACCCTAAACCCTAAACCCTAAACCCTAAACCCTAAACCCTAAACCCTAAACCCTAAACCCGAAACCCTCTAAACCCTAAACCCACCAGAGCACTCTTGAAGCCGAGACGGCTGCAGGGTTCGAGCTTGTGTTGCCAGGCCGAGTTTCTGGATTAGTATAGGGGTCAAAATTTTTATGAATATTCCCTTATGGTCCCTTTATCATTATACTGTAATAACCCCCAAAAGGATAAAATGTTAGGACCCGCAGTATGCCCGTATTTCCTTTGTTTAGAGTTGTGGTTCCTTTATAACCCCCTCAAAACCAAAAAAGGGCGCCCTTTGTATTCCTAGGTTACTCCTGGGTCTAGTATAACCTGAACCCTAAACCCTAAACCCTAAACCCTAAACC